CATCTGCATAAGAAAAGGATAGTGAAATGAGAACCTGACTTTACCATGTACCCCAGTGCCAGGCCTGCCTCAGTGAACTCCAGAGTCCGATTGGTCTTTGCAGCCCTAGTTTCCAGACCAGCCTCTGTGGGCCTAGGTGCCAGGCCCATCAGTCCACTGACCAAGGAACCAGGTCATCCTACTCTGAGACCCCAGCAACAAGCCCATGATAGATCCTGCCAGCCAGTCTGCTCAGAATCTGTTGGAGACAACTAGTGAAGGGCTTTCCCTGTAAAGCCTGAAAAAGGTGTCTACTTCTTTAAAGGCACAGACACCAATGCAAGACCAAAAGAATCACCAGGGAAAACATGACATGATCAAAGGAACAAAATAAACCACCAATAGCTTACCTTAAAGACAAACTGCCTCACAAAAAATTAAAAATAATAATTTTAAAGAAGCTCATGAGCTACAAGACAATATAAATAGGTAAATGGATCTGAAAAATAATATATAAACAAAATCAGAAGTTCAACAAAGAGAAACCATAAAAAGAACTAAACAGAAATTCTGGAGCTAAGTAACCAGTGGTTGAACTAAACTTTCTAGAAGTTCAACCATAGGCTCAAGAAGAAGAGAATCAGTGAGCTCAAAGGCAGGTCATTTAAAATTACCTAGTCAAAGGGGAATAAAGAATAAAAAAGAGGAAATAAAGTCTAATGGGCTTATAGGACACCATAAAGCAAACCAACATAGACACTATGAAATTTTCAAAAGAGCAGAAAAAAAAAGGAAAGAAAGCTTATTTTAAAACACCATGCCAGAAAACTACCCAGGATTACAGAAGGAAATGAACACCCAAGTTTATGAAGCCAAAAGAACCTCAAATAAATGTATCATAAGCAGGTTTTCAATGAGAAACATAATCAAATTCTCAAAAATCAAAGGCAAAATGAGAATTTCAAAAGCATCAAAAGAACAGCAACTCATCACACACAAAGGAAGCTCTGTAAGATTGTAAGTGAATTTCTCAGCAGAAACTTTGCAGAACAGAAGAGAATAGGATGTGATATTCAAAGTGCTGAAGGAAAAAGAAATTGCCAACTAAGAAGACTCTATCCAGCAAAATTTTCCTCCAGACATAAGGGAGACATAAGGGGTTTCCCAGAAGAAAAGCTGATGGAGTTCATTACCATTTGAACTATCTTACAAAAAATACTAAATGGAGTTGTTTATATGGAAAGGAAAGGATGCTAACTAACAGCATAAAAACATATGAAAGTACTAAACTCACTGTAAAGTTAAGGTTATAGTAAAATTTAGAATGGTCTGATACTGTAATGATGGTATATAAATCACTTTAACTGTAGCATAAAAGTTGAAAAACCAAAAGAATAAAAAATAACTATAGCCACAATAGTTTCTGAACAGATATACAATATAAAAAGATATAACTTGTGACATCAATCACATAAAATGAGAAGGGAGGAAAAGTTAACATGTAGAATTTTTTTTTTTAATGTGGTTGAAGTTTGGTTGTTACCAGCTTAAAATAGACTGCTATAACTATAAGGTGTTTTACGTAAACCTCATGGTAACCACAAGGAAAAAGCCTGTAGTAGATACATCAAGGATGTATCAAAGATACCACTACAAAAATTCATCAAATCCCAAAAGAAGACAGCAAGAGTAGAAGTCAGGAACAAAGGAATGACAAAACAGTAAGAAAAAATAAACAAAGTAGCAATAATACTTACCCCTCTATAATTAAACAATAAATGAATTAAATTCTCCAATCAAAAGATAGTGGCTGAATGGATAAAAGGCAAGATCTAAGTATACTCTGCCTATAAAACCTCCTTTACCTTTAATAATATATTACCTTTAAGAACATATTGATGAAGAAAGATACTCCATGCAAATGACAACAAAAACAGAGCAGGGGTGACTCTATTAACATCAGGAAAAAAAAACTTGAAAAAAAAAAGTGAACAGCAATGTTTTCAGCAATAGATAGATTGTACCTTATTTTCAACAATAGATAGATCATCTGACAGAAAATCAATAAGGAGTAGTAGACTAGAACAACATTATGGAACAAATGTACCTAATGCACTTGTGTGGGCCATTCCACCCAACAGGAGCAGGATGCACATTCTTTTCAAGTGCACATGGAATATTCTCCAAGATAGTTTATATCTTAGGTGACAAAAAAGTCTTAATATATTTAAGAAGATTGAAATTACATCAGTTTATATCTTAGGTGACAAAAAAGTCTTAATATATTTAAGAAGATTGAAATTACATCAAGTATCTTTTGCAAACACAATGATATGAAACTAAAAACCAATAACAAGAGGAAAATTAGAAAATTTACAAATATGCAAAAATGTAACCTGACACACCTGAACAACCAATGGGTCAAAGAGGAAACTAAAAGGAAAATTTTAAAAATATGTTTTGACAAACAAAAATAGAAACACAACCTGCCAAATCTTATGGGATGCAGCAAACTCAGTTTTGTGAGGGAAGTTTATATTGATGATAAACAGGCACATTAAGAAAACAGAAAGATCTCAGATAAATGACCTAACTTTATACCTCAAAGAAATAAAAACAAAAGGAACAAATTAAGCCCTATATTACCAGAAGGAAGAAAATAATAATTAGGGAAAAAATACATGAATTGGAGACTAGAAAAACAATTAAAAAGATTAATAAAACAGGGTTTTTTTGGAAAATAAAGCAAATATTCAAACAAAATATAATGGAAGAGGAGACATTGCAACTAATACCACAGTAATACAAAAATACAAAGTATTATAAGAGACTGCTATGAACAATTATATGCCAACAAACTGTATAGCCTAGAAGAAATGGAATAATTCCTAGGAATGTATAAAAATTGAATAATGAAGAAATAGAAAACCTGAACAGATCAATAATGAGTAAGGAGATTGAATCCATAACAAAAAAACCTCACAAGGATGAAAAGGACCTGGCTTCACTGGTGAATCTAAAAATCATTTGAAGAATAAATGCCAATTTTTCCAAAACTCTTCCAAAAAAATTGAAGAGAAAGGAATACTTTCATACTCATTTTATGAGGCAACATTAACCTGAAACCAAAGCCAGACATGAATACCACAAAAGAAGACACTTACAGGACAACATCCCTGATAAGCATAGCTGCAAAAATCCTCAACAAAATATAAATTAAAGGGATTATATACTATGAAATTTAAAGGATTATATACCATGATCAAGTTAAATTTAAAGGATTATATACCATGAAATTTAAAGGATTATATACCATGATCAAGTGAAATGTAACCTTAGGATGCAAGGATGATTAAACATATGCAAATAAATAAATGTGACACACCACATTAACAGAATCATCTCAATAAATACAGAAAGGGCACTTGACAAAGCTCAACACTATTTCATAATAAAAAAAAATCTCAATGAACTTGGTATAGAAGACAGGCACCTCCACATAATAAAGGCTTTGCATGACAAGCCCACAGTTAACATACTCACTGGCAAAAGTTGAAAGCTTTGCTTCTGACATCAGAAACCAGACAAGGATGCCCACTTTTGTCATTTCTAGTCAATATAGTACTGGATGTCTTAGACAGAATAGTTAGGTAAGAAAAAGACAAGAGTCATTCAAATAGGAAAGAAAGAAGTAAAATTGTCTCTCTTTGCAAATAGCATAATTTTTTATATAGAAACCGTAAAGACACCACCAAAACTCTGTTAGAATAAGTGAACTCAGTAAAACTGCAAGATACAAAACCAACATGAAAATTAGCTGTGTTTTCATATATTAACAAAAAACTATCCCCAAAATAAAGAAAACAATTCCATTTAGAGTAGCATAAAAATACTTAGGAATAAGTTTAACCAAGGAAGTAAAAGATCTGTATCATAAAAATTATAAACATTGATTAAAAATTTGAAGAAGATATAAATGAATGTAAAGATATCCTATCTTCAAGAACTGGAAGAATTAATATGGTTAAAATGTCCATACTATTCAAGGCAATCTACAGATTTGATGGAATCCATATCAAAATTTCAATGACATTTTCCAGGGAAATAGAAAAACATCCTAAAATCTCTATGAAATCACAAAGACCTCAAGTATACAAAGAAATCTTGAGTGAAAAGAACAAAGCTAGAGGCAACACACTACCTGATTTCAAAATATAGTACAAAATTAAAATAATCAAAATAACATGGTACTAGCATAAAAGCAGTCATATAGACCAATGAAACACAATAGAGAGCGCAGAAATAAACCCATGTACTTAGACAGTCAATTGATATTTGACAAAAGTACCAAGAATACATTATGGGGCAAGGAAAAGTGCTCAATTAATGGTGGTGGGAAAACTGGATAACCACATAAAAAATAATAAACTTGAGCACTTTTGTCATACCTATATATAAAAACTCAACTCAAAATGGATCAAATACTTGAATGTAGGACCTGAAACTGAAACTACTGGAAGAAAATCTGGGGAAAAGATCCATGACATTGGTTTGGACAAAGGTTTCTTGGCTATAACCTTAAAAGCACCTACAAAAAAAGTCAAAACAAAGTGAATTACACTGATACAAACAGGAGATAGGGATATACTGAATAAAGAGGGAGTTTACCCTGCAAAGGCCCCACTCTTAAGCCTGATGGGCAAAAGGGCCTGAATAGACATTTCTCAAAAAAAAAAAAAAAAAAAAAAAAAAAAGACACCCAAATGGCCAACAGGTATAAGAAAAAATGCCCAACATTACTAATCGTCAGGAAAATGCAAATCAAAAGCACAATGAGATATTGTCTTACACCTGTTAGGATGGCTATCATAAGAAAGACAAAAGATTACAAGGTAGTGGTGAGGGGGTAGAGAAAAGGGAAAAGGGAAATCCTAGAATATAAGTTGAGGTAACCATTATGAAAAACTGTATGGAGGGTCCACAAAAAATTAAAATAAACCTACCTTATGATTCAGCAATCTCACTTCTGGGTATATGTTTAAAGCAAATGAAATCAGTATGAAAAAGAAATAGCTGCACTCTCACATTCATTGCAACATTCTTCACAATAGCCAAAATATGGAATCAACCTATGTGCCGGTCAATAGATGAATGGGGAAAGACAATGTGGTACATACACAATAGAATATTATTCAGCCTCAAAAAATGAAAGAAATCCTGTCGTTTGTGACAACATGGAAGAATCTAGAGGACATTTGGCTAAGCAAAATAAGCCTCCCACAGGAAGACTGCATGACCACACTTATACGTAGAATTGAAAAGAGTAATGCACATAGAAGAAAATGGTAGAATGGTGGTTGCCAAGGACTGAGGGGTGGGGAAATGAGGAGATGTTGGTCAAAGGGTTTCAGTTGTGCAGGATAAATAAGCTCTGGCGGTCCAATGTGTAGCATGGTGACTATAATTAATAATATTATGTTGCATACTAGAAATTTGTTAAGAGAGTTAATCTTAAATGTTGTTAGCACACCAACAAACGGTAACCATATTAGGTGATGAATATGTTAATTAGCTTAATAGTGGTAACACTTTCACAATGTATACATATATCAAAACATCACATTAAATATATATATATATATATATACATACATATAAAATGTCCCCTGACTTTCAAAGATATTTGTGATAGATGTCTTGAGTTTATTTAAAAAAAAAACACAAAACAAAACATGAGAGAGATCCAAGATGGCTGATCACTAGCAGCTACGGATTGTAGCTCCCACTGAAAGCACAGAGAACGAGAGGACGCCACACTTTCAGATCAATTTTTGTTGCTCACGCACCAGGAGATTCCCAGCGGAGGAGCCCCACGTGTCGCCAGCACGACTCTTGAGGCCGGTGAGGCTGTTTTGCCCCGGCCTTGGTGCGGCGGTTCTCGGTGCAGAGTCAGAAAAGCACCATCAATCTTAAAGCCGCTGTTTTGGCCGGTGCAGTGGGTTGCTCAGATTCTAGCGCCGGGAATCAACAAGTTGGACGCCTATTCAGAAACCCAACTATAAAGACGGTAATTATAAAGACCACAGATGGATAAATTTATAACGAAGGGAAGAAACCAGCCTAAAAAGGCTGAGAATACCCAAAATCAGAACGCCTCTCCCTCTACAGGGGATTACAGTTCCTCATCAGCAACAGAACAAGGCCTGATGGAGAAAGACTGTGTTCCATTAGCAGAAGCAGGCTTTAAAAAGTGGATGATAAGAAACTTCTGGGAATTAAAAGAACTTGTTCTAACCCAATGCAAAGAAACCAAGAACTTTGAAAAAAGGTTTGATGAAATGTTAACAATAGCATACAATTTAGAGAGGAATATAAGTGAATTAATGGAGCTGAAAAATACAGCACGAGAACTTCGCGAACTATGCACAAGTTTTAACAGCCAAATTGATCAAGCAGAAGAAAAGATATCAGAGGTCGAAGACCAACTTCATGAAATGAAACAAAAAGACAAGATTAGAGAAGAAAGGATAAAAAAGAACGAGCAAAGTCTCCAAGAAATATGGGACTATGTGAAAAGACCTAATCTACATTTGATAGGTGTACGTGAATGTGACGAAGAGAATCAATCCAAGCTGGAAAATACTCTTCAGGATATTATTCAGGAAAACTTTCCCAACCTAGCAAGGCAGGACAATATTCAACTCCAGGTAATACAGAGACACCACAAAGATATTCCTCAAGAAGACCAACCTCAAGGCACATAATAGCCAGATTCACCAGGGTTGAAATAAAAGAGAAAATACTGAGGGCAGCCAGAGAGAAAGATCAGGTTACCCATAAAGGGAAGCCTATCAGACTCACAGCAGATCTCTCAGCAGAAACCCTACAAGCCAGAAGAGAGTGGGGGCCAATATTCAACATCCTTAAAGAAAAGAACTTTCAACCCAGAATTTTATATCCAGCCAAACTAAGCTTCATAAGTGAAGGAAAAATAAAATCTTTTGTGAACAAGCAAGCACTCAGAGATTTCATCACCACCAGGCCTGCTTTACAAGAGCTTCTAAAAGAACCACTATAAATAGAAAGGAACAACCAGTATCAGCCTTTCTAAAAAAATACCAAAAAATAAAGAACATCAACATAATTAAGAAATTGCATAAACTAATGGGCAAAATAGCCAGCTAACCTTAAATGACAGTATCAAACTCACATATATTGTTATTAATTCTAAATTTAAATTGACTAAATCCCCCAATCCAAAGACCCAGACAGGCAAAAAAAGCCAAGACCCATTGGTATGCTACATCCAGATCCATCTCACATGCAAGGATACACAAAGACTCAAAACAAAGGGATGGAGAAAAATTTACCAACCAAATGGAGAGCAAAAATAAATAAACAGAAAGTAGGAGTTGCAATTTTTGCTGATAAAATAGACATCAAAGCAACAAAGATCAAAAGCAAAGAAGGATATTACATAATAAAAGGATCAATGTAACAAGAAGAGCTAAAGATCCTAAATATATACGCACCCAATACAGGAATACCCAGATATATAAGACTTATAAAGAGACTTGGACTCCCACACAATAATAGTGGGAGACTTCAACATTAATATTTGACAGATCAATGAGACAGAAAGTTAACATCGATATTTAGGACTTGAACTCAGATCCGGAACAAGTAGGCTTAATTAACACTTATAGAACTCTCCACTTTAAATACACAAAATATACACTCTTATCAGTACTACATCACACCTATTTACAGGTTTAAATGAAATATTGGTTGGCTGCTTGTTAACTATTTTCTTCCCTCATTTTTATTTATGTCTCTATTATTAAACACAATTACAGGCATACCCATTTTTAGACTGCATTCTAGCCCAGGCAATAAAGCAACACCCCTGTTCTCTCTCCCTGTTCCTCTTTCTTCTTTCCTTCATTCTTTTTTTTTCTTTTATTTATTCTTTCTCTTTCTTTCTCTCTTTCTTCCTCTAAAACAAACAAACAACAAAAAAAAAAACAAAAAAACCAAAACAAAACATGACATATCCATTCCCCAGTCATTCTGGGCCAGTGAGTAGCTTGTTGTGCGGTATTATGAAAAGTTGCACTATAATCAATCCCAACATAGCCAAAGTCTGGTGTATAAAAGGAAATCAGTTGACTCATTTTATTCCATATATATATTAGAAAGCCGGATTTTAGAAATTATTCTTTTTAGAAAATAATATATCAACATTAGGGGAGGCAAAATAAATCAACCACATTTATATTATCTAGTCTCAAAAGCACAAATGTTCTTATGTGCTCAGTGTCCTCACTATTAAGAAGGCATGTTTGGTGTCCAAAGAGCTGAGTGTGTGACAGTGAGCAAGTTGTGGGTTACTTTTACTACTACTTGCTTAAAAAACAGAAATAATGTTTGTTATATCACAGGGTTGTTATAAAAATTGAGATAGTGTCCTTGATGGGTACAACATAGTGGTTGAATATGTCCTAGCAAGTGTTCACTAAATTATTTTTATTTTTGTTTTTAAGATGGGATCTCACTCTGTTGACCAGAATGGAGTGCAATAGCACAGTCACAACTCACTGCAAGCTCAAAGTTCTAGGCTTACCCCATCCTCCTTCCTTAGCCTCTGGAGTACCTAAGATTACAGGTGTGTGCCACCATGCCTGGGTAATTTTGTGTGTGTGTAGAAATGGGGTTCTCACTATGTCCCCCAGGTTGGTCTTTAACACCTGGCCTCAAGTAATCTTCCTTCCTCTTCCTCCCAAAGGGTTAGAATTACAGGTGTGAGCCACCACACACAGCCTTTTTTTTTTTTTATCATAGTTTTTATTGTAAAAATATATCCATTTTTACAAAACTGGAAAAAGAGTATGCAATTTTAAGAAGATATTAGTCTTTTTCCTGTTTCAAATATAGGCTTACATATTATTATAAGCAGTAAATTTGGCATTTTCCTTGTCTTAGTTTGGCTTATTGAATAGCTAATGATCATTGTAAAACCAAATTTCAAAACAATCTGCATCGTAGTTTATTTTACACATGACAACTTGCATCCTTCTATGTTCTCATCTTCACAATGAAATTAATAATGCCTTGTTTTTTACATGCCTGTGGAAATATCGAGTGATAATTCTGTTTTAGAAAAAAATAAGCTATTAAGAGTTGCTAATTTTCTAAACAAATAGAAAATTGCTATTTATTTCTTAGAAAATACAACAATACAACAAGGAATCAAAACAAAATTGGACTGTGAAATTTAATATCCATGTTCAAAAGAGATTGGTATTTCAGATTCTTTGAATAGTGACTAGCCTTCCAAACATAATAGTGTTTAGGGATTCTTGACAGTTTTGGAAATTTATATTCTAAGTGGCTTACAGTAAAAAATATGAATCCAGGGTGTATATTATCTGAATTAATCTTTTGGAAGTGATGGCATGATATGCAGATGAGGAGGAAGTTATAGAGGAGCCTGGGTTTGCAGTGGTAGCGCTGCCACATAGTTGCTGATTAAGAGATAGAGAAACAAATGGGTCTGTCTTCAGCCGAACTCATGGGGCTAGGTGGAACAAAGAAAGGATTTTTTTTTTCACCTTTCCCTCCTGTTTCACGTTCTTTCTGACCTGTGCCCAAGGATATCAGTGCTTAAACATATTAAGATACAGACATCAAGACTGACATCTCAACGTTGTTATCTTCACCAGCCAGATGACGTGGTGGTGTGGCTGCACCCAGAGCTATGGAGCTGTATCTCCTAGTGTCATCGGAAAGTGTCAGAACTCTGCGTAGTTATTTGTTGAAGCATTAAGGAAGAGACATATGAGTTACTCCTATTATTATCTTGCAAATCAATTGCTTATGAAAATGTTGATGGCGTGATCTGCATGTGTACCTGAATAATGCTAAACAGGCTGCTGCTCTGAAAGTTCCAGAAGCATCCTCTGACTGCTACCAAGATATCCAAAGGAATGCATGTGGGGTATTAACATTATTGATAATGATGGTGAAATTTTTAATCAATATTTTTTATCTAACCCATGTGCTTGTCAATTAATGGAGGACACTCGTGTGGGAAATGTTAGGACTTCAGATTTTGTAGTAATATGGATAATTATTGTGCATATATCTTGGGAACATAGAAATGTGTATGACAATCGCATTTGGAAGTAGTAGAGAAATTGTTCAAGGCACTGATTTAGTGATCCCCTAAGTCAAGGGTAACTTGGAAAATTGAGTCTAGCTTTGAAAATCTTTTTTGATTTTGTTGGTGCTGGGGAGTATACGGCCTAAGTTTATACAGAAAGCTACCAGCAAGTTAAGTAGTAAAATTTGGGCATTATGTCAAATAGCTTTTACTAGATAAGAGTACCCCAAAACTTAAATGCTTAAGACAATAACAACTAATTATTTGGCTCATAATCTGTGGGCCAAAAGTTTGGGCTGGGCTTCACTGGGTGGTTCTTCTGCTTTTGGGGTTAGTTCTATCACATGTCTATATTCAGCTGCTAGGTTAGCTGAGTTGACTCCTGAGGATGGCCTTCAGCTGTGACAGTTAACTCCTCTACAGTTTCTCATCTTCCTGCAGGGCAGCTCAGGTTTCTCACAAGGCAGGTGGGCAAGCAGACATGTATGAGACATGCTGTGGTCTTGGATTGGAAGAGGCACAACATCACTTCTACTCCATGTTATTCACCAGAGAAAATCACAAGTCTACCCAGATTCAAGGAGGTTGAAACTAGACTCCAACTCAAAATGGAAAACACTGCGAAGTCAAATTATAAAGATTGTGGCTTAGAAAGGAAAATATTGTGGCCATTTTTGTAGTCTACCATAGGCCTCCTTCAGGCGGCTGAAGTTTAGTTTGGTCCGTGTTACCCAGGCTCTTTCAGGTCTATTAAAAAGACAACCAACCTTTGGGGTTAAAGTTATTATTATTGGGTCAGTCTTGCTCTGCATCCAGGCTGGAATGCAGTGGTGTGATCTCGGCTTACTGCAGCCGCGACCTACTATGCTTGGGTCATCCTCCCACCTCAGCTTCCCCAGTAGCTGGAACTATAAGTATGCCCACAATGCCCAGATAAATTTTTCGTACGTTTTATAGAGATAGGTTTTTGCCATGCTGCCCAGGCTGGTCTCAATTTCCTGGACTCAAGCATTCTGCCTGCCTCAGCCTCTCAAAATGTGAGGATTACAGGTGTGAGCCACTGCACTCAGCCTACCTAACTTTATTCTAATGATCTCCCAGGAATGGGGAAATACTAGTGGTCTAATATTGATCTCTAACAAAATCCATTAATGGTTGTAGCGGTCATGTCCTTTGAGGTAGTATAAAACAGTTCCATGAGTTGGATATTTTGGAACAATCAAGAGTTTTAAGATGGATCCAGAAATTGGAAGGATCAAAAACAAATAGTTAAATTGTAGCTGAACCCAGCTGGTGTTCTTGGGCAGTGGGGATGAGCTGAGCAAGTCATAATATATTCAGAAATAAGAGTTGGGCTGGATATTGCCATGTATGATTCTCTTTTGAATCTGTACAAAATGATTCATGCTCATTTTTTATATTTAATTTTGCCTGCAAGCTAGGTAAAATAAATAGCAGTGAAATGTAATGTTTTGAAATAATCCCATAATTTTCAAGTGCTCTTGAGCAATAGAAAGCAACAGGGCTCTATATGCTTTTCTCAGACTTAATACTTATTGTTTATGCTGCCTAGAACAGTTTTCTTTAATTGATACTTGGCTTGATATCCTTTTAAATTATTAAAATTGGAGGCATTCATTAAATAAGAGATTAAAAGACATGGTAGACACAGCTAATTATTAAAAGCCCAAGAAGGGACATGAAATGCATTTTATCTGAGGCTTTAGTGGATTGTTAAAGTAAATGAATGGTTTAGTGATAAACCAGTCAGAGTTAATCAATTGAGCAAAGCTACAGGGAAGCTATTTGAGTCTAGATTTGAAGGGTTTATAAGTAATCATAGAGACTTACAGCTGCTCCCTACTTCTTTAATTTTAGACTGTTGAGCTGCTAATTGGTCAGGAAATTGGGTCTAAGCTCTAGAGTGGTGACTAGAGGAAGGCGACTTAGGGGTCTTTGTGGGGAAGGTCTGCATCGGTAACCATTAGCAGATCAGAAGTCAGAGTGAATTCTTTTGTGGCACACTGTGATTTAAAGGCTGTCATCATTCTGGAGACAAAGCTCTGAGGAGGCCTATTTTCAACTTCCTCACTTCCTGAACTTCTCAACCTCTCAACTGCTCCCTTAACTTCCAAATAATAAGCAGTGTATTATTTTTGCCTGCTTACTAAGAGGGAATACTGGTTGTTGACACAGCCACTGCTGGCCAATGAGATTAGTAACATGATACAGAGATTTTCACCACTTAGAAGTCACTGGCTCAACATGGCTCAGATAGGTAATGACTTAAAGTTATTCTGACCTGACAGCTGTTTAGAGGTCCATTTGAAGTGAACTATTTCTCAGTTAGCTTCCAGACAGGGGACACGTTACTGCTGTGGATTGCAAAATGTCATCTCTGTTGGAATCTTACATAGCAGTAAGGCTCAGTGTTGATTCATCATCACCAAGGCTAAAACAACGTGTTCCCTAGAATTAGGAACATTTGGCTGGCTTTTGTGTAAAGGTTTTGAGCCCTGTGGAAAAATAATATTGAGTTAGTTTCTCTCCAGGGTCAGAATCACTCTACTTACAAGCTTAATGCCATTAACTAGTTCAAGATGCCAGGGCACTGTTTAATGCATTACCAACAATCGACTGAACCTTCAGAGAAGATACATTTAATGTCCTGTCCTTGGGCCTTCAACAATTAGCCACGTCTACCATGCTTTTCAATTGCTTATTTAATGAAGATCTCTGATTAGAAATAAGTGTCTGCCAACCACCTAAGGAGTGATTTAGGCACTAGAAAAGATAGGGTTCAGAGGTTTTAAATCACCAAGGACTCAGTAATTTCCAGCTTCATAAAATTCATGTTGAAAATGCACATAGTTCAAAGAAAACAGCCTAAGCAGATTGCAACAGAAAGCATGAGAGTAGAGTGGGATGGCAATTAGGGAAATGGAATACGACACATTGGTTAATAATAAAACTTTGTTTAAAAACCGCATGCATTTAAAGTGGCTATGACAGAAGGACATACTTTTAACTGCAGAGTTTCTAGTCTTTGAGCGTAACTCTTCTGATTGTGTGCCTGCATTTACATCAAGGACTCTAAAACACTTTTTGCGAGATAACATTTCTTTTCACTGTTTGGTGATTGCCATTATATCCAATGCATGCCTATGGCAAGAAACTTAATAACTTGTTTCTGATTTTATATTACACTTTGTGCTGATGTTAGTGCAAAGTGTGCAAATTTTCACCTATGTGGTTTTCTTATGTTTAATCTTTCTAAATTATAATTAATCTTTCTGAATTATGATCTTTCAAATCTTATTAAGTATTCTTTTTTATGTATTCCCGTCTTACCGTCATAGCTAATCTGTACTTCCTTGGAAGGCAGAGCACATTTCTTTTCCTGCCTTTATATACCCTCACACCCGGCACACACGTGCTGAGAACATGGTCGGTGGCTGATGAATGAATTTTTAAAGTCACTTTTGAGCTCCTTTGGACGTAGGATTAAATCATTGTCATGACTATTATTGCTATTTGCCAGACAGCCCTAAGTTTAAGGCAGGAGGAGAGACTGTGATTCTTCTCAACCTCCACCTATCCTATTTATGGACACAAGGCATTGGTACAGAAAGCGTGTGCCCTGCGAGTTCCCAGTGTGCCATGTTTTGGCAGTCTTCTGTCTTCTTAAGTTTTTGAGAATTCATAAACTGGTATAAAAATTTCGTGAGCTAAATGTTGTACAAAATGAATGCTTTAAACATAGGGAAGCCAAAGGAACGAGGATCTGGAGCCTTCATTTTAGTCATACTGCTTTTCCCAGGAAAGCAGATAATTTCCTCATTTATTTTATTCCTTCTTTATTGCAGCAGGGATTCTGTGCTGTGGTGAATGTAGAATCCTGTATCTTTTGATGTCACCCTGAACTTATGATGCAATGATGTTAATGTATTTCTGTGTTTTATTAACTGTGTTAACAGGTTGTTTTCAATTTTCTTTTCTCTGGACTTCTATTCATCTTTTCCTCTTCTCTCCCACTCACCAGAAACCAATTATAACATAAAGACTGCTATACATCCTTCAAAACTTTTCTCATACTTTATTTTCCTTGCAATACGTTTCCCCAGCTTTCTAATCAACAATTGTTAATTTACTTGCCTTAGTTCTAATAAAACTTTGGTTTTGGCTTTGCTGTTGTAAATGTATTATTGATTTGTAAATGTGTGCTTCTTTTACTAGTACATGAACTGTTGAGTGGCAAAAATGAAGTCTGTAATTGTCATTGTATCAATGCTTCCTTCTCTGTTCTCTTCCTTCTCACTGCCAGGCATATATACAGAGCCACACAATATTCAATAAGCATTGTAATGTGTACCGAATTTGGGAAAAAAATAAGATTTTTTAAAAAAAATTTCAGAGGAAACATGATTCAGCATTGATACAAAAATTGTAGCTTATTTTCTGTTGAAAATAATCTCACAGTTAATGGGAAGTTGTAATGTGATTATTGCAGATAAACTAATATATAAAATTCCTCTAAATGTAATACTATTCTAATAAATTTCACTGCAAAATTATATAGTTAATATTGCCAGTTTTCAGGATGGCTGAGGAGTGACAAAAATTGTAATGAACTTGTAATAATTTAATTAAGATTTTGGCTTAGAAGCTACTCATATGACAAACCTATTATAAGATAGTTTTAGAGGATGAAAAACTAAACCTATTAAAAATAAACCTAGTAGAATGGGTAAGGAATTGCTATGTAGAAAAAAGCCCAAGAAATAGGGTGTTTTGGTTATCATTAAATTCACTCTTATGTTGATAACTGTAATACTTTGTTAGAAAAGCAATGCATAGAGTTGGCTTGCTTAATTTCCTCAAGTCTAAACTCTATAACACATCATTCATGCAGTGACTTTGGTAGCTTAATGATGTGCTGATGCTCGGTGTGTTCTCCTGGACCACCAGCATTTGTATCCCCCGGGAGTTTGTTGGAATCACGGACCCCAGAGCACCTCTCCAGGCCTTTGCATCAGTAGCTTCATTTTAACAAAAGTGCCAGGTGATTCTCATGTACATTAAAACTGAGTAGCACCGTCTTAATGTATGCCATTGAAATAAGCATGATGATTATGGAAGATTAAGGCCATTAGAACAAATAATCAATTGCCATTGTCTTCCAAGAAAAAAGAAGGACATACATATTTAACACAACAGCTTTCTGGATACCTTTTACTAGA